AGAGAGAGATGTACAATACCACACATACGCTCCCACCACGATTTGTTACTGGACGTCGAGACGGGCAGTCAATCTAAACATCTCAGGTCTATTAAAAATTTGAGGTGAAAAAAATATATATACATAAATGGAAAAACGATGTAGAATTGGTGCGTACAAAGACTAATACGAATTCTGTTTTAAACAAAACAACGAACCAAGTCAATTACACAATTTCGTTCAACAAGGCAGAGGTGAAGTTGTAATTATATCACTGGATTCTCCCCCTCCAATTGCACCCCTTCCATCTAACTCATCCTCACCCTTTTAATCAATATCAGCGGTTAAGGTATCGAGGTTGCGAGAACGGTGCATTCCCTCCACATCCCCTCCCTTCCCGCCATCCCCACCGGCCCCTCTCTGTGGTGTCAGCGGTGATTGTGCATCACCTTTGCTAGTGCATAAAGACGGTTGCAACTGACTCTCCGCCACGCTCGGCCCAACATCAGATTCTGACTCGATCTCGGATCTGCCTTGCATTGCAGCATTTGTTATCAATGAACTCCCGTACGTGGCACCTGCATCCGACGGCAACGTCGTTGACACCTCGATGGTCGGGGACGATTGTGCCGCGGCGACCGAGATGAATTTTTCTGATATTTGCGGCATTGACAACATGTCAACCTCTTGAGGCCCGACAACTGTAGTCCCGTCATCTCCCCTGTGCCCTGCTTGCGCGGCCACGGAGGACGGCTCAACCGAAGGCATGAAATCATGAGAGCAGCTCCCCTCCAAGGTTTTGGCGGTTTGATCAACCTTCCAGTTGATTGACCCGCGTGAGGGACTCGAGCGCAGGGCATAAAATTTGTTGTTGTACTCTAGTTGCCGATTGTCGCGCAAGACATGAAACAATTCTTCGGCCCTGGCTTTGATGGCAGCCTCGCTCTGCCTTGGATTCTTGACGCGCACGCGATGCAGGATCGCGAGCTCCGTCGTTTTCAACCAGATGTCCTTTGACATCCGACGAAAAGTCTTCCAACCGCTTGTGTATTTCACCGCCATCTTCCACTCCCCATCTTGGATGCACGGCTGTAAAACGCCCTCATGCCATATGACGTCATGGCCCCATTGATCCTCGCCTGTGTGGGTGTGTTTGCCCTCCAAGAAATAAATCGTGTTCGGGTCAGCATAGTAGCCTGGAGGAATTGCATCGCCTGGTGCGAGCGTCGACGCCTCGCCTGGTATCGCAATGTCGTCTTCTTCATTGCCACCGCATCTTCCATTGTCTTGCAATGCAGCAGTCTCCGACGGGGCCACCATTGAGGCGACGCTTGGGGCGGTCACCGGGATGGACCCTTCGTGCGAATGGACAGTTCCGTCATCATGAGCTTGCACTATTCCTCCGCGCGGAACCTCAGCACATGTGTCCTCGCCCAGTTCGAGGTCGGAGTCCGAAGAATCTTCCTCGCTGTCGACGGGGTTAAAGCCATTGCCCGATTTCGTGAGCTCCGCGTAGTCCTTGGACGTCAATTGGTCTTTGCGAAAATCGAACTTGAGGATCTCGCATCAAGCAACAAAAGTCTCAAAGGCGCCAGTGAGAGCACCGTGATAATGTTTTAGGGTCTCTGTTGCCTTTGCTTTCCTGTATATATATTTCCCGTCAAGCCGTCCTTGTGGCATATCGCGGAACAGGTACTCCCACACCTTCAGTCTCTTAGGCCCTAACATGTGGAACATGTCCCTGTTCGGGCGATGTTTGCAACGCGGTTTCTCGACGTGGCAGTTGAATCTGTAGTCCTTGACAAGTATATCGATGAACTTTGTCAAGTATGCAATGGCCTTTGTCGACTCGTCACAGGCAATGACATTATTCCCTGCTAGTAAGAATTCCCACACAAGACCCATGTGCGCCCTACCCAATAAAAGCACACCTTCCTCCTCCCCGACGAATGACCCGCACAATGAACGCAACTTGCCAGGCTCTCGCTCCCAGATGGAATACACCACACTTTCATCACCCTCTATGCCACCGTGTTTCCCCAGACACTTCCCGAACTTGTCCTTCACAACATGCACGTTTGTGAGGTCATTGACAAGGCGGGATGCGACCATGACCTTTTTGAGATCCCCTCCCTCCGCGTGCAGGACAATGGTCATCATGTCTCGACTCGCTGTAGCGATATTGCCATACCTCGTGATGTCATTCGATGGCCTGTCTACCCGTTTCCAGGTCCCGAGGATGAGTTCGATGTCCTCCCACTGGAATAAGCAACGCAGAACATCACTTTGCACCTTCTGCGGTGCAAAGACAAAAAGAACCCAATTAACGTCACAACACTTAGTCATCATAGAGTGCAGAGCGTCGAACTCTTGAGAGGTCCATGTCGTGCAGAAGTTAGCGCGGGAGATGTCAAGGATGACGGCCCTGCAGGTCATTTTTTGCGTCGCAGCGACGATGTCGTCTAGCGCAGCCAACACTTCCTTCAATGGCATGCATACTGGTAACAATGTTGTTTGTTTTTTAAGTTTATCCCTCACGATATGACGTGTGCTGAAGGCGACCCGTTTGACCTTCACCCGAAGCAGATCGAGCTTATCGATTGAGGTGTATACAAACACCTTAAAGTGGAACGAAGCCTCCTTATATTTTGCCGCCGTAGGGCCCAAGCCTGATCCTTGCGTTGCCTCCTCCACCCCTCCAAGCCGTCGAAGGACCACTTTGCTGACATGCAGCTTGTCCCGTTCCTTCTCCCATTCAACTGCATACAGATCGTTCGGCCCATACCTGTCTTCGAGGTCCTTGTATGACATGAAGAAGGCATCATTCTACTCATCGTCCGCCCTTCCCTCGGCGCGAAAAACAACGTAGTTGAACATACGGACCAACAAGGCGTTCGTGAAGCAAGCGCTCGAGAATGAGTACAGAAAGGATTGGAGCAATAAACTTTGTGGCTACATGAACCTCGCCACTTCCACCGAGGCTGTGTGGCCACTGGTCGAGAAGTTCTTCGAGATGTTCAACGAGGGGAAGCTGCCAGTTGGCGATGGTAAAGTACCGCTTGACATGCCGGGTAGGATGGAGGGGTGCTCAGAATATTATACCATTGCATATACGTGAGAGATGGTCCCAAAGGCTCCACCATGTCGTGGAAGGATCTCTGTCCTTCCTACTTCAAAAATTTTGGGGATTTGACGTGCCGCGAGAGGGAAGTTGCACTGCTCCTCCTCATGAAAGGGAAGGTGGTCGCGATGAACGTCAAGGTCATGCCTCCGAGAGTGAATACGGAGTGCCTCCTCGACATCACGATGCCTCGCACAATATTCGCAGACAAAGAGCGGTGGTTGAAAAGAATATTACCGTGGGGAATGCGTTTGATTTTCATGACGTCCACAAGAACAGGAAGGACGTTTTGCTTAGCGAAACCCCGCTCGTCGTACTCGAGGAAGAAACAACGCGTCATGTCAATGGGCGCGGCGTGCTGAAGCGGTTCATCACCATCGTCAGGCATGCGAGGGCCCACTCTCTCGCTCTCGACCCCTGAGTCTCGCAGTTCTTCTGCCCTCACTATCTGCTTACCTTTTCTTGCGCCACCACGACCGTCACCACGACTGCCAGATCTTCCCCCCTGGCTGCTCTTCCGAGGAGGTCTCGCCTCCCGGGATGCCACCAGAGCTCCACGAGCCTCATTAACAGCGTCAGTCCTCGCTTGTCTCTTGTGAGCGAAAGCAGAAGGAGAAGTTTCTCTTGTCCTTTTCCTCGACTTTGATCCTCCGTGCTCCTGCGAGTCATGCCCACCCTGACTCCCGCCTTGCAAATGCCATATCGCAGGGGACGACAAGGGCCGACCAACTACCGCTCCCACAGAACCGGTGGGGATGTCGCCAGGGCCATGCTCCGACGTGACACCGACGTCGTCATCGCCAAGTATGTTTTGGTCGTGCATGTTCTCATCCCCAACGTCCATATACTCGTTATCACCGTCGTCTTTACGTGGACCGCAACTTCCCCCATCTTCTTCCTCCTCGTTTCGCTCAGTGAGGGCAGTCGCATCTTTCTGAGCACTGTCACACGGAGCATTGCGTCCGTACAGATTTCTGTCATCATACTCTGTAGCCTCGCTGGAACATTGAGCGATATCGTGACCTCCCCTCACCGTGGGCAAGGGCGAGGGCGACGCGGCTGGCGAAGGCGGAGCTGGACAAGTAGCCAACTGTTTCCTCTTCCCAACCAGCGCGGATGGCGTCTGTCGCGATTTCCTCGAGCTCGTGACAAAGGGCACGAAAACGTAGTCGGCTTGCTGGTCCAGAGGCAGCCTCGAGAAGGCTTCCCTGTACTCCTTAACAACGCCTAGCAGTTGGTCCGCCGGGCTGCTGAATTTCACCAAGAGTTTGGTGAGCTCCAAGGAACTTTCAACGACAGGAAGGCAGTCAGTGACGCGGTAGCCGTTCATTCTACTGAGGAAACGTTCCGCAGTCAGCATGCGAAGCTCGGTGCCGTCCCCGCGCACGTCAAACGCTTTCATGGAGAAAGCCTTGACGTTGTAGCCTTGAAAGAGCCGCAAGTCAAGGCCGACCTTCTTGTCTTCCTTGACCCAATTTGTGCCATCCTTGTCGAAAACTGACGTAAGAAAGAAGGTTCTGAACGACCTCCCGTCGTAGGTATTCCTGGCGCTCTCAGATTTCTCAACACCCCCACAGCAGTACCACGTCGCACCATTGTCGTCGCTCAAGAAGACGACAGCCCCACACCCAGGCATTTCATGTCCGTCCCTCCCAGATTTAGGGTCTGGCGTCCCCTAAATAGCAGACCCCACCCTCGCCCGCGTCCTCGACGGAACACCGCAGCATTTCATGTCCGTCCCTCCCCCTCCCTGTCGCAGCACCGAGGGGGGTCCGACGTTCCCGCCGGACCCATGTCGGTGCTGCCAAAGAGTAAGGGCCCCCCTCCCTCCCCGTCGCCGGCAACAACACCAAGGGGATCCGGTGTTCCGGGAACGTCGGACCCCCTTTGAGCTGCGGGGGAAGAAGTGGGTCCGTCCTCAACCCTTGATGGCCATAGCACAAAGGGGGTCCGGCGTTCCCGGAACGCCGGACCCCCTATGTGCGGCAGGGGAGGACGGGAACGCCGGACCCCCTTTGTGGCGCGGGGGAGGACGGGGGTCCGAGATCCGATCCAACGATGGGCATAGCACGAAGGGGTCCGGCGTTCCCGGAATGCCGGACCCCCTTTGTGCTATGGGGGATGAAGGGGGTCCGCCCCATCCCCTCGATGACCACAACACCAAGCCCCCTCGGTGCCTCTCTGTGGCATACTGTGCAGCCACACGGGCCTTGCAGGGCCCGTCCCGGACCTCCAGCCTGTTTCCCTACAGGGAAACTTCCAGGCTCTTGCCTGGAAGCTTCCTTCTGGCAGGGCCTACAAGCCCCAGCCTGTTTCCCTACAGGGAAACTTCCAGGCTCTTGCCTGGAAGCTTCCTTCTGACAGGGCCTACAGGCCCCAGCCTGTTTCCCTACAGGGAAACTTCCAGGCTCTTGCCTGGAAGCTCCCTTCTGACAGGACCTACAGGCCCCAGCCTGTTTCCCTACAAGGAAACTTCCAGGCTCTTGTCTGGAAGCTTCCTTCTGACAGGGCCTACAGGCCCCAGTCTGTTTCCCTACAGGGAAACTTCAGGGAACTTCCAGGCTCTTGCCTGGAAGCTTCCGCAGGGTCTAGGCCAGAGGAGCATTGGCACGGCCAGCCTCCTGCACGGGCCAGCACTATAAAGGACTGGCCCGCCCTGCAGAAAAGAGGTAGGCAGTTGGAGAGTAGGACGGTGGTCTTCAGATTTCGGCCGCAGCACTCAGGAGGAGCGTTGCAGTAGTCTTCAGCGCTAGGCGGTAGTAGTAGCGCTAGCTGTAGTCTTCGGCGYTGGGCGCCCATAGCCATAGCTGTAGTCTTCAGCGCTGGGCGCTAGTAGGTGGTAGTAGTTGCAGTGGAGGGAGATGGCTGGCGGAGGCTAGCGGTACTTACCTGTGGCGCCATAGCTCCAGCTCCATCTTCGAGGTACCTGCATCAAGGCGCCAACTTCACAAGTTAGTACTGGACATAGAGAGAGAGAGAGAGAGAGAGTTCTTCTTCTTCCTCTTCTATGTCAACCATCTCTTCTTCCCCTCTCACCACCTGACTTCTCAGTATCAGCAGACTACTACAGAGAGAGAGAGAGTTGTGACTTGAGACTTGACGACATTGGATCCAGACTCGACCTTTGGGATTCAGACATTTCGACGAGGGACTATTTGGGCCTGTGCTGAACACTTGGTGTTGACGACATTCCCATCTTCCCCTCTTCTTCGTCTAACCCCCATCTCCTTCGTCTGTGTATGGTTGG